GGAGCATAACAGGAGACAGAAAAATGCAGTTTGTGACTCTGGCTATAAACATCAAAGTCTGTAAGATGATATGCTGGTTCTCAGACAGTTCTGAAAGAAGAAAAGGTCTTTTCTACTACCTCTCCACTCCCATCCCATACACATGTTCCCAAGTGCCATGGAAAGTGTTCTGTACTATTTGTGGCCACATATAATACTTTGCTAATTTGGGAACAAAAATCAGAATCAATCCTAATTCCCTAGAGAAGACTTTAAACTTAGCCATGTAAGGAAGAGGCACTTTTAACCTCATTTGTAGAGAAAATGTAAGTCGTCAACAGAACCCGAAGACCTTAGGGAAAAGCCCAAAAGGAAGGAAATTCCAGCGTCTTTGAAGACAGCTTGTGTTCTACTGCTCAAATAGTTTTGAACGGCAAAGGAGATTTTCTCCCACATATGAAACTCTTTTTCCTAATAAGGCATATTAAACTATCTTCAGATACTTATGCCTTAGTCACTTTTTTAAAAATGCAATTTGACTTTGTCTAAGCTGAAGGAATATGAATCAAAGGCAGACAAGAGAACGAGATGAAAAAATATTTATCTGTATGAATTGTCTGTGTGCTGTTTCTTCTATGATGCTTTCCCTACATAATAAAATACATTAAACCTATTTTTAAAGACAGTTTTACAGCTCTTTTTAATTCTATTTCTTGGTGCAGTAGAGAACTAGGTGCAATAGATCTTGTCTCTTACAGAGTTCTTGCTCTTTTGTACAGCAGCAGCAGAGTTCTGAATATTATATCTTTGGGACAAAAACAAACAAACAATACAAGTAATCTCCAAGTTATGAACAAGATAGGTTCTGTAGATTTGTTATTAAGTTGTATTTGTTTGTTGGAACAGGTACATTTTTGAGTGTAACTCCAATCATATTCTTTAAAGCTTTGGATAGCACATGGAAGGGTGTTTGTTTTGCTTTCTGTGCCCCTGTTCAGAAGATTGCTGTCCCTCTGATAAATGGATTTTAAAAAATATGGCTTGTGGAAACCAGGATTGGCTATAAGCTTCAATGGAAACCCTGATAACTCTTTCAGGAGTGAATTTCCCTTTCGAGGGGTAGATTTCTCTCACTTCCTGTTGTCTCAGCCCCATTCTTAACTGTGAGTTGTTTGTAAGTTTGATGTCTGTAACTCGGTGAATGTCTATATATATGAAGTTTATTTTTTAAAAATATAGATTTATGCAAATAGAATTTAAAATATTAAACCATTTCATAAACTTAAATAGTTTTAAAGAAAATGTTTCTGTTTCCATCATTATTCTGAATATTAATAAGATTTTAAATCTGTGGGCTGAACAGCATAAACAAGTAGGACCAGCTCCTTTATCATCACCAGCTTTAAAGACCACGATATTATGATGTTATATGTTCTACTTTCATATCCAAATTTGTATACAGGGCCCATCTCCACTGCCGTACAACGCAATTTGAAACGGCCTTATAATGCAGTTCGGTGCAGCTAAATTGCATATGAGTCTACACTTACTATACACTGCCGTTTCAAACTGCATTATTTGGCAGTGTAGATGGGACCACAGTTTTCCGGTTTGGATGAAATGGTAAATCCATCAGAAGAGAAACTCTGAAGCCAGTGCTTGAGGGAAAGGAAGGGGGAAGGCTGTGGTCTCAGTTATTGTTTTTAGCTTTAACAGCCAATATTGTCTGCATCACTAAACAACTTTGTTTTGTTCAGTAGGTCTTGCCTGTTGCTTCTGGAAAGTTCTGAGCACTTAACCTGTGATCTTGCCCCAAATCCTTATGCATATTTAGAAAGCAGGTCAAAAATCTTTAATTTCACAATTGTTTCCATAAGGAAGTAGAAATTCCATAGTGCAAAAAGTTGTATGGGCCCTTTGATCAGACATTTCATTTTACGTTCCTAGTATACAGTTGATAAAGAAATAAGTTTGTTTTTAAATTATTATAATAAGTAGTGTGCAGATTTTTCTGTGACTTTGAACATTCAATAGGATTCAAATGGGAGTAGTGGTGCCAAAATGGGTTGTTGTAGGTTTTTTCAGGCTATATGGCCATGTTCTAGAGGCATTCTCTCCTGACGTTTCGCCTGCATCTATGGCAAGCATCCTCAGAGGTAGTGAGGTCTGTTGGAATTAGGAAAATGGGTTTATATATGATTCCAAAATGCCAAAATGATTCCAAAGGTGTGCAAGGAAAATCTCAATTGCATTGCATTTTAACAACCATAGAGAAAGGAGTCTCATGCAATAAGGGACTAAAGCTCTTCCAGATGTGTGTTGGGTGGCAGTCATATATGTGGCTGTATGTTCTATTCTAGATCCCAATATGTTTTACCGATCATATGATTCTATGGACTGTTTACCTCCCTTTTACAAAGAATTCTGAGATATTTTGTTCAGGCTTCATTTTAAATTAGTATTTATCTCTTTACTTATTTACAGTATTTAAATTCCACCCTTCTCACCCCGCAGGGGACTCAGGGCGGATTACAATGTACACATATATGGCAAACATTCAGTGCCAAAGACATACGACACATACAGACAGACAGACAGTCAGAGGCTCTTTAACTTTTATGGCCGCCAGGGGAGCTGTCGCTTTCATCGTCCATCTGTGACACTGATGAAGTACTTCCACATTCCCCGCATGCTTTGCTGGAGTGCTTTTGCTGGAGACTTTTTTATGGCTTCGTAAATTAGTTAAATTAGCCTCCCCACACATAGGTGGTACCTAATTTTCCTACTTGACAGATGCAACTGTCTTTCGGGTTGCAAAGGTCAACAACAAGCTACACAATTGATCGGAAGCTCACTCCGACCCGGGCTGGCTTTGAACTCATGACCTTTCGGTCAGAAGTGATCTTCAGGAAGTGATTTTCAGGATACTTCAACTCCCTTTCTCTTCTCCCACTTCTGTTTATTTATTTATTCATTTAAAATCCAGAACTTTAGAGATAAAACAATAGATGATTAATTTCCATTTTGGTAAAAACTCAAAAATTAGGAAATGGGAAGTGGCTTTCTTCAAAGTGTATTTAGCGTATGTCTCTATATGAGTTTACTTTTACAGGAGATATATCTATTGCTTTTGTACTATAAAGCAAATAGTTTTATATAAACACAATTACATCACTACAGTTTACCACTTTGGCATTATTTTTGGGAAATGGAAATCTCCGTAACCTTTTGGAGATCTTATCCTCTTTGGAAAGGCATGACCTTGTTAGTATTCTCAACTTTTTAAAAAAATGATGCCATAACCTCTGGCTTGTTAGACTCATAAACTTTTAGGAAAATGCCATTCGTGCAAGGCAATCGGGTTCCTTAGCTGTTAAGACTGATACACTTAGATATCTCTTTGTTCTGTTAGGAACAAAGATATGCCAATGCACCAACACACGCACACAAAGAGCAGAGTTTCAGAAGTGTTCTTTTTAGTTGCCCAGAAACATCTACTCTCCCTTAAAATATATTTGCCGTCAAATTATACTCTCAAGAGACAAAATAAGTAGACTTCTTTAAAAGTAATTTAGCTGGTTTACTCACAAACTTCATGTATTCAACATACAGGTATTTTGTTTATCAGTCCAGTTACAGATAGGATTTGAAGTAGTTTATCTGTAACTGGACTGATAAGCAAAATACCTGTATGCTGAATACATGAAGTTTGTGAGTAGTTTATAATCAGCAGAACATAATCTAAAGTATCTCTCTGTTCTGAAAGTCTAATAGGGTCTCTGTCTAGTCTGAAACTCCAATGGAGTCTGAGAGTCTGAAAGCATCCATCTGGGGCATACAGAAGATGGGGAAAACAGCAGGAGCTCACCCCGCTCTCCAGATTTGAACAACCAACCTTTCGGTCAAGTTCAGCAGCTCACTGGTTAACCCGTTGTGCCACCGGGGCCCTCATAATAGTTAGGCAGCTTTTTATTGTTTTCTTTTCTTTTCTTTCTTTCTTTCTTTCTTTTTTCTTTTTTTTTTCTTTTTTTGTACACACTGCAATTTAGAAATTTAGAGAAGCCTTATACTTAATTTGGTGGTTCAAGATTTTATTTTGAAATTGCACTTTTCCATTCTCCAGTGTCTTTAGTTTGTAGCCCTTTTGCTAAAAATTCCACCTAATACTAGTCTAACAGAAAATTGATTTGTTAAGGAATAAAAGGCATATTAGGAACATAGTTCCTTTTTATTGTTAATTCCAGGAACCCTTATTCTTAAAGTCAGAGTACATCCCAATAAACTCATTGAGGCTTCTTTTTGAGTAGTAAGAACTGTATTGTTAAATTGTTAAATGTATTAGTTTATAGTATTTGACTTCTATCCAAAAGTTCTTCGAGAATGGGAAGCCAAAGGCAGCTCACAAATAAGATTAAAACAAATTCAGATAAAAAGACAAAAAGCAGTCAAAAACCGAAATAAAATGTGGGCATGTAGCTATATATGTATGTATTTAATTCGTATCTTGCCTTTCTCCCAACAAAGAATCTATAGTAGCTTACAACAAAATTAAAAGTGAGACACAATTAAATACTTGATTATACAAAAGTCGTGAAATATGTTTCTTTGTTAAAATACTTCAAATTTATAACTGTATCAAATCATTTAAGCAGCTTAAGAATAATGTGGAAAAATACAGCATACATCCAACTAATCTTCGTTGTTTATATCGACAGCTAAATACCACAATGTATCCTTTTAATTAGGGCCTCTATTGTTCCTTGTGGCACTTTTAAGAGGACAAAGAGCTGCTAGGGGAAGGAGGAGACAAGAATGTCTACTTCTGACGCCCCATTTTTACGAGCTTAAGCCTGCTTCCGTGTCTGTTTTCATTGTTTACTTCCTATTTCTTAGTAGTGTTCACATGTTAACTATGATTCAGAGTTTATAGAGAACAGCAAGGTCGTTTAAGAATTTCTCTTTGCTTGGACTGAGTCATTCAAAGTCATATTCTCTCCCCTGCCCCTCTTTTTTGCCCTTAGATAACATTCTTTGACCACCATGAGTTGGAGTTTCTTGACACGTCTGTTAGAAGAAATCCACAACCATTCCACGTTCGTTGGGAAGATCTGGCTGACAGTGTTGATCGTATTCCGCATTGTCCTCACCGCCGTGGGAGGGGAATCCATCTATTATGACGAACAGAGCAAGTTCGTGTGCAACACAGAACAGCCAGGTTGTGAGAATGTTTGCTACGATGCGTTTGCCCCCCTCTCCCACGTTCGCTTTTGGGTATTTCAAATCATCCTGGTGTCCACTCCCTCGGTGATGTACCTGGGCTATGCCATTCACAAAATTGCCCGGATGGTGGAACACGGGGACACAGAGCGCAAATTCCGAAGCAAACCTTTCCCAATGCGTTGGAAACAGCACAGGGGCTTGGAAGAGGCGGAGGATGATCATGAGGAAGATCCAATGATGTATCCAGAGATTGAGGTAGAAAGTGAACGAGAGAACAAGGATAATCCGCCCCCAACCAAAATGAAGCATGACGGCAGGAAGCGGATTCGGGAGGATGGGCTAATGAAGATTTACATACTACAGCTTTTGAGCAGGACTATGTTTGAAATTGGTTTCCTTGTTGGCCAGTATTTCCTTTATGGGTTTGAGGTCAGCTCCAAATTTATTTGCACCCGGCATCCCTGTCCGCACAAAATAGACTGCTTCATTTCCAGGCCCACCGAGAAAACCATCTTCCTGCTCATCATGTATGGTGTGAGTTGTTTGTGTTTACTTCTGAATGTCTGGGAAATGCTTCACTTGGGATTTGGCACCATCCGGGATACGCTGAACAATAAGCGGAAAGAGCTGGAGGAGTCGGGGACCTATAATTACCCATTTACTTGGAATACCCCATCGGCTCCTCCAGGCTACAACATTGCAGTGAAGCCCGACCAGATACAGTACACAGAACTGACTAATGCCAAAATAGCCTACAAGCAGAATAAAGCCAACATAGCACAAGAACAGCAATATGGGAGCAACGAAGAGAACATTCCCACCGAGTTGGAGAACCTCCAGCGAGAAATCAAAGTAGCTCAGGAACGCTTAGATCTTGCCATTCAGGCATACAATAATCAGAACAATCCTATGTGCTCTAAGGAGAAGAAGCCCAAAGGCAGCTCAAACAAAAGCAGTGGCAGCAGCAAATCAGGAGATGGAAAAACCTCTGTCTGGATTTGACACTGTTTGCTGGGGATTTAATGACTTGATCCTTTCCTCCTGCAGTGTATGATCACTAAGAAACTTGTTGCATACAATCTTCCGTAGAATAAATATTCAGGTTTGTTTTAGTTCAGGGAGATTAGGACTGCCAAATGACACTCTCTGAAAGGAGAGGGAAAGGAAAACACTTATGCTCAGATTCTGATGTTTCCAGAACATGTATCCTTGTTTCTTCCAGGTCAGGGGAAGACCCAGGTTTATTTTTTAGCGAAAAAAATCATTCTTGTTGAACGGTTTACACTGTATGTACAGTATTATGGTACATTTTATTATGCACAATTTTTTGTATTTGTATATTGGATATCTCAGTTATACTTTTTATATTAAAAAGAACAAAATAGGTAACTTCTGGTCTTTCAGTAAGGTTTTCCCACCTTATATTTATAGATCTATGGATCTAATGTTGAATTTTCTAGAAATTTGAATTAGATAACAATTGATTCTGGGTGATTCTCATAGACAAGGAAAACAAAAGTACAAACACACACAAAGCTAGGGGAAAATACTTTAGTTGTATTAGAAGTTAGTGCCTTAGTAGATATTTCAAAATTCCAATTGAACTAAAAGAAATCTCTTGAGTAATATGTATCTATTTATAGATAGATACTTGAGTAACATATACATATACTTGAACTACTTTCCTTGATATAACTCCTATAAATATAATTCATTCTGATGCTGATTTACATATTTGATCTATAATCTCAGCCATGTTGTGTTACTTGGGTGAACACCATGGGTTTAAAAAAGATTTAATATTTGCAAGCTGTTGGTAGTGAAGTTTCTGGATTTAAACATTTGGAGCTTCTCTTTAAATTATTGGTGGGTATGTTGAGTAGACCAATCTCCTCCACCTAGCATCCATTGCAGACCACCTCCCCCAAGCTGCTGTAAGGTCAATTCTGATTTCCTAAAAAAAAAAAAATAGGTCACAGCGAGGTGCGCTAGTGAGATGTGGTTTTACAAGAGAATCATGGTTACATTGGACAACCTAGAGATTCATAGAGAAGTATCTTCTCTTGGAATCTGCTAGATCCTCCAATGCAACAGTATGGAATTCTGCGACCAGAAGTAAGTTAATTTATTCATACCTGCAGTTTCAGGAAACTGTGTTTCGTCTGGCATTGTATCCCTTGCGGATATGGGTTCTTACTGTATATGTTGGTTCTAGGTTGTTATACCAAATAAAAGAATAGTCGAGAACATTTTTTAAAATTGGCTAATATAAGGCATTCATTCTGTTGCACAGATAGGCCAGATAGTATAGAATCTGCATATTGAACTAAGTGGCGCTTTAGCTTGCTCTTGCAGGGCTTTTCTCAGGGGCGGTGAGTGCAGTGTTGTGAATCAATTTATCAGATTTGCAACACTTGGGAGCCTTTAGGGAATGAGAGGAGAGTTTCCAGTCCTTTTGTGTGTACGGTATGTGTTTATTTTTCTCTGAAGTAAGCTCTTCAGACATGGGAACAACTTGAACTGTGTGGATAATATTGATCTTCAGAGAATTAAACAGTGGGATCATTATTGTATGGCTTTTTTATTCCCCCAGTGTTCATAATTTCATTGTAATGGATTATCTGCATAAAACAGGTTTTGTGGATTTTTGTGGACAGCTACGTCCCCATAAGAATTTAGGAGGGAATGGCTTCGTTTTATCTCTATTAAATCTCCAGATATTTATCACTTTCAGACATTGGAGGACTGTTCCAATTAAATGGCCTCCCCTGCCTCCAGTAGATAATTTTCCTCTTTGCTCAAGGCACTACAAAATCGTGGGAATGCATTCAGTTCGAGTTTTGCTCAAGAGACCAGTTGGGCTTTGGCAATCAACTTCATTTAGTAATTAGACAAGGGAGAATGCAATATTTAGAGCCCTTGGTGGTGCCTTTTTGGCAAGGGCAAGCAAGAACAGAGATGAGACAATAATGTATTGTATATACCAGTTTTGTCTAATATTTATGATGAGTACAGACCCTTTCTGTCTCTGGTTGCATGAAGTGTCACTTCACTATTTTGTGATTCCCACTAAAGTCGAAATCAGGCTGGTGAACCTCAAATCCCAACTGCGATGTATTCCAAAATGTCAAACTGGCCTGTCTAAAAATAAATAACTTAAGGCAATTTACAAATTAGAGAGAAAGAAAAAACAATAATTAGGATTCATTTCAGGACATTCAATGAAGCAAACAATCATTTAGAGCCTAGAGTCTTCAAAGTTTTTAAACCGAGGGCTGGTTTACGGTCCCTCAGACTTTTGGGAGGCGGTGGGGGTGGGGTGGGGGGAGACTATAGTTTGAAAAAAAAAACATGGATGAATTATTACGCACAGTGCACATATCTTATTTGTACTGCAAAAAAAAATGAAAGAGGAATACAATATTTAAAATGAAGAATAATTTTAACCAGCATCAACTTGCCAGTATTTCAATGGGAAATGAGGGCGTGCTTTTGGCTGATGAGATAGACAAGTTAATTAGGAATGTTGTTGTTGTGTGCTTTCAAATCATTTCAGACTTTAAGTCTAAAGTTTAGGGCACGAGCCCGGTAAAGGACCTTAGAGGGCCACATCCGGCCTGCTGGCCTTAGTTTGGGGACCCATTGGTCTAGAGCAGGGGTCCCCAAACTAAGGCCCAGGGGCCAGATACGGTCATTTACTCGGCACTCGTTCAGAGTCAACCTAAGTCTGAAAGGACCTGAAAGCACACAACAACAACAACAACAACAACAACAACAATCCTATCCCATCAGCCAAAGCAAGCCCACACTTCCCATTGAAATACTAATAAGTTTATATTTGTTAAAAATTGTTCTTCATTTTAATTATTGTATTGTTTTAAGTGTTTTGCACTACAAATTAGATGTATGCAGTGTGCATACGAATTCATTCATGGGTTTTTTTTTTCAAATTATGATCCGGCCCTCCGACAGTTTCAGGGACTGTGACCTGGCCCTCTGTTTAAAAAGTTTGAGGACCCCTGGTCTAGAGTTTCAAAACCAACCATTTCAAGCTTTCCTTTTGCACTGCTTTTTCAAAAAACAAAACTCAAAAGTGTAAGGAAAGCTGGTTTAAGATGATGGAGTGCCATAGCAGGATGCCTTGCTAGACAGAAAGACTAAACGTACAGGCTCTGTTTTAACCACCTGATGAGCAGCAAATCTATAGGGGCTTGGCTGTCTATGGATGAACACTGAGCTCTGGTTGCAGCCCAACCTCCCCTCCTTTACAGCTAGAACAGATAAACAAGCTATTCATCGCTTATTTATTGCCATGTGTGAATCTAGTAGGGAGCCTGCTCTTTGGCATATTTCCTTCCTGCTCTGTCATGTCACAATAAACAAACTATAGCCCTAATCTCCATGGTTTGTTTAGCTGTTCCTGCTGCAAGTAAGGGCGATTAGTAGGCCTGCACCAGCATTACTTGCTTGTTCTCAGCAAGCGAGAGAGTTCTCTTGAATTCCACTTTTTACAATGTCCCAAAGTAGCCAGAATGTTCATGCCATGCCCAGAGGATGGCAGCAAACTAGCAGGCTTGTCCACAGGAAAGTATTGTAAATGTGTGTGTTTTTTTTTTTAAAAGAAGAATCTCATTATAACAGTTGTTTATCTTCAAGGTTTCACCATAGATTAATAGGGCTGATTTTAAAACATCAATATCTGGAAGAGGAGGTCTGGAAAGCATTCTGTTTCAACTGCTCAGCAGTGTTCTATGTTACAGTGACAGGATTATATTTGTTGAGAAAAGATTCTTTTTGATGACATTTTTGGCACCCAGCTGGATTGAACCCAATCAGGTCGTTTGATTATTCTCATATTATCAAAATACATGATTCTCCAAAGTGGTAATGTAACATTTACAGCTGTTTTCCAAGGAAATCCTATTGTTGTTGTTGTTTGTTGTTCATTCATTCAGTCGTTTCCAACTCTTCGTGACTTCATGGATCAGCCCATGCCAGAGCTCCCTGTCGGCCGTCACCACACCCAGCTCCTTTAAGGTCAGTCCAGTCACTTAAAGGATGCCATCCATCCATCTTGCCCTTGGTCAGCCCCTCTTCCTTTTTCCTTCCATTTTCCCCAGCATCATTGTCTTCTCTAAGCTTTCCTTTCTTCTCATGATGTGGCCAAAGTACTTCATCTTTGCCTCTACTAGTCTTCCCTCCAATGAGCAGTCGGGCTTTATTTCTTGGAGTATGGACTGGTTGGATCTTCTCATGGTCCAAGGCACTCTCAGAACTTTCCTCCAACACCACAGTTCAAAAGCATCTATCTTCCTTCGCTCAGCCTTCCCTATGGTCCAGCTCTCATAGTCATAGGTGACTATGGGGAATACCATTGCTTTAACTATGCGGATCTTCATTGCAAGTGTGATGTCTTTACTCTTCACTATTTTATCAAGATTGGACATTGCTCTCCTCCCAAGAAGTAAGCGTCTCCTGGTTTCCTGGCTGCAGTCTGTGTCTGAGGTAATCTTTGCACCTAGAAATACAAAGTCTGTCACTGCCTCCACATTTTCTCCCTCTATTTCCCAGTTGTCATTCATTCTTGTTGCCATAATCTTGTTTTTTTTATGTTTAACTGCAACCCAGCTTTTGCGCTTTCTTCTTTCACCTTGATTAGAAGGCTTCTCAGCTCCTCCTTGCTTTCGGCCATCTGCATATCTAAGGTTGCTAATGTTTCTTCCAGCAATTTTCACCCCAGCCTTGCATTCGTCAAGCCCCCCACATCACATGATGTGTTCTGCATACAAGTTGAATAGGTTGGGGGAGAGTATACAACCCTGCCGCACGCCTTTCCCAATCTTGAACCAGTCTGTTGTTCCATGGTCAGTTCTTACTGTTGCTACTTTGTCCTTATACAGATCCTAATACAGACCTTATACAGATCCTATTACAGAATCTGAAATGCCTGCTAGTATTTCTCTTGAAAGCTGAATGTATATCTCTGTTGTTTTGGGCAGAAAGTTAATCTTTAAGACCAGCCGTGAGAGCAGAGATACCCATGAAAACTTTGACATGTGCATCGTATGGTGGAGCCCCGTACCATACTCCAAATATCCACCATTTCCACTAGTATGTAGCAACATCTGCAACAGATTTGTGTGTGGGTAAGACTACCTGTAATGTAGGCTATCATACTTTGGTCATAGCCTGAAACAATGTGATTCATTAGAAAACAAAATGTTTGGTAAAGTGTGAGGTAGTAGGAAACAAAGACTGCATTTCAGGTGGGCTGAGCTTGCAGGATCTGCAAGGCTGTTAATAAAGAGTTTTGAATGTCTTGTCATTCATTGGGTTGCTATAAGTCAAAGCAGACTTGACAACAATTTCCTTTGATTGTTGTCAAATGATTAAGATTGGGACCAAGATTAATCATATCAACTTCAATAAGGAAAACATATAGCATTGCACTTAGGCAGGAAAAAATGGAATGCACAGATACAGAATGAGTGACACCTGACTTTAAAGGGATTTGGGAGTCTTAATAGATCACAAGCTGAACATGAGTCAACAATGGGATTTGGCAGGCTAAAAAATCAATGCAATTCTAGACTGCAATGGGGGTGTCGAGTTTTGATTGAGGGAAGATATAGTCCCACTCTATTCTTCTTTGGTCAGACCTCACCTGGAATACTGTGTCTGTCTGTGGGCACCACAATTCAAGAAGGATTTTGACAAGCTGGAGTGTGTCCAGAAAAGGGTGATCAAAATGGTTTGACAGCCAAGCCCTATGAGGAGTGGTAGGTTTAGCTTGGATAAAAGAAGGCTGAGAACGCGAGAATGGCCATGTTTAAATATTTGAAAGGGTGTCACATTGAGTAGGGGCAAGTTTGTTTTCTACTATTTTGGAGACTAGGACATGGAGCAAGGATTCAAATTGCAGGAAAAGACCTTCAGATTGTAAACACAAGAAAGAACTTCCTGATGTTAAAAGCTATTCAGTAATGGAATATACTGCCAGAGTGTGGTGGAATCTCATTCTCTGGAGGATTTTAGGCAGAAGCTGGATGACCATGTGTTGGAAACACTTGGATCGCATGTTCCCTCCCGTTCAGCAGCGGACTGGACTATAGCCCTAGCAGTCTCTTTCAGCTCTGTGATTCTATGCTACATACTTGGACCAAACTTCAAACAATGAATTGGGTTTGGACACCTCATGAGCTGAATCCCAACAGGGTTATATCCTAGTTCCAGTATGTGCCGATACAACAATACTAATATCACCCACACCTGTTATAATCTGATAATTTGGTAGCGACAGCTACGCATTTCCCCACACTGGTATAAAAGAACATCTACCATCTTGATGTGAGTTGCTTTTTTTTCTCCCTGACGTACCTATAGATATAGATAATTCCACATACATAGATCGCATGGTAGTTCTTCTTTTCCTGTCTACCTACACTTCAATGGCTCCCTTATCCTGCTCTTCTTAGGAAGACTTCTTAATCCAGTCTCTGTGTATATATCTGTCTGTGGTTCAGGTTAGGTTGCTTCTACACTGCCATATATTCAGATTATCAAAGCAG